CAATTTTTACGCATTTATAATGAAATGATTTTCTTTGTTTTTCCTTTTTTGAAAATATTAAAATAATAAAATAAAATTTATTTAAAATAATAACGGTTCTTTTTAATAAATCAAACACCGTTATTTTAAATAATAACGATGTTTAATAAAATTAAAAAAAAAACAAAAAAAAAACTGTATTACTTAAACAAATACCTTAACTTTAAATCGGTCTTTTTATAAAAGCAAAACAAGTCGTCGATTTTGAAATAAAAAATATATCATAAAGAATACATGGGGGCTATCCATAAAAGACGTCATCCAAATAGGGGGGGGGGGGAGGAGGTTGAGTTAAAAAGGACAAAAAAGGACAAAAAAGGACAAGGGGAGGGGGAGGTTGTCAGAAAAGGACGTCACTTAATAGATTTTTTATTTTAGTTTAATTAACATGGAAAACTATGTAAACATGTGTTTTTAAGAAGATAATGTATGAGAATATTTCATACATTCAGGACTTTATGACGTCCTTTTCAAGGGGGGTATAAGGAAAAAGGACAACCGGTGACAAAGGAGGGGGAAGGGGGTCAAAAATTGGCTAAAAAATGGTGACGTCCTTTATGGATGGCCCCATGGTCGCAGCTGGGTTTTTTTTTGAACAATAACTGCTGTTTAGTAAATGCAAAAATCAGAAAATTAAAAGATCTTCGAGTGGCAATTAGAAAAAGGAAAATTAGGAAATTTAGAAAAATATCTCTAAAATACCAACAATTCTAAGACATATTATGAATAAATTAAATACAAATATATAACTAAAACATATACTTTTTATAAGCACTAAGTTAATATGTTTATTTAAAATAAAAATAGTCCAAAGCTTTTTTAATTGAAAAAAAATTATGTAAATTTTGAGGATAAGTATTTTTAAGAAAAAAAAATTTGCGAAAATTTGACAATTTTAAAGCCATTATGAATGGTTCTAGCAAGCTTGCCTTCATCTCTAGTAATTAAGCGGATACATTTTTGAATGGAGTAAAGCACCTTAGTTTCAATAATGAAATAAAAAAAAGTTTAGAAGATTTGACTTTTTTGGGTTTTTTGGCCACGGAAAATAAATTTAAACTCAAAACTATAATATTAAACTGGGACAGCCCTAAAAAGGATGCACTGAAGGTACATTTTGTGTTTATATAAAAACGCAGACCGATATGGTTTAGCGCATGCGTAATTATAAACTTTGCTGAGTATAAAATAACCACGCGATTCATGTTAACTTATTTGTTGTTCAAACAAGTTTGCTTATATTTACTCTTGATTTTAAAATGAATAAAAATGATTCTCACCAAGATTTTGAGTATGTGTTGAGTATGTGGTTCTATATGATTTCATAAGTTTATTTGTTTATTATAAATTAATGTGTATACAACATTTTTCTGGTATTCATATACATATATTTGTAAATAATATTGTATTATAATATTATATTTTATATTATAATGTTATATTTATACCAATATTATTTTATAGATACAATATATATGCATAACTTATATATATATATATATATATATATATATATATATATATATATATATATATATATATATATATATATATATATATATATATATATATATATATATATATATATATATATATATATATATATATATATATATATATATATATATATATATATATATGTATATATATATATATATATATATATATATAAATATATATATTAGGTACGTGAGTAAAAATTTCAAATTGTTTGAATACTATAATGTTATACATCATTAGAAAGAGGAATATTACAGTATTTTAAAGGTATCAAAATCAAACAATTGGTTCAAAAGTTATGACGGTTTAAGTACCGATTTTTCGATATTAGGATTTGTTGAAGAAACTGTGGTCAAAATAATGTTTTTTTTTACTTAAATTATCATAAATTTGTCAATTCTTATCGAAAAACAAATATCTTAGTGTCAAAAGATAGGTGTAAGAGTGGGCTACAACTTTATGTTAAACTCTAACCACCGGGCGTTTCGGACAGACAGAGGGGGCACCAAACCACCACCATGCCCGTACAAAACTGAACACTTTTTTCAGAAAAAAAGTTTCATAAGCAAAAGACATAAGCAATATAAATATATTTTAATGGTTAAGTATAAATATTATACTTAACCATTAAAATATATGAGAGGTGTATGTTAGCAATAGAGGTGGGTGTGGTGGTGGTGGTTTGATACACACTAGTATCAAAAACGACTTGATTTTATATTTATATCTTTACTGAAACGTGTAAAATTAGTATACAATATAAAATTATGTTATACATGATCTTACATCTACAAGTGGTGTTTCTATTATGGGAGGGCGTATGCCCCCCCCCTACCTATCCTAAAAAAATATATACAATTACTGTTTTTAAAATTTGAATAATAAATTTAAAAATGAAATTATGAAATTGGAAATAAATTAAAAAATAAATTCATATCAGACAACCATCAAATATGGAAGATGAATGTAAAACTCATAGTAGATATGTTGATGATGTTTTAAAGAGAAAAGAGGCATTCTAATGCCCCTTCCCCCTCTAACCTAATATTATTTAATTGGTTATATATTACTAAAAAAATTATACAACTTCTATTGTGGGGCTATAATTAAGTCAATTGGCTTTAAAAAACATGTCATCTTTATAACCAAGTATAGCAAATACCTATATTATTGTCTTTCATGTGATTCTCACATTAACAGAACCATACAGTATGGTTAACGAGCTAACCATTTTCTTCTGTTAATAAACAAATTTCCTGTTTCAAAGTAAATATTATTTATGCAAGTCACAACACTTGCAACATATTTTTGACAAGTCACAACACCTGCAGTGTTGTTAAATTAATTAAATTGTAACTCACTGGAAACAACATCAGCAGCAAGCTGGATCTTTTTCATGCAATAGTCAACAGCTCCAATATCAGTTTCATCATCTTTCCAGGAAGAAATGGTGTAAATAAAGTTATTTTTTCTTTTATTAACTTTTTCTACTCTTTCGCTATATAAAACACTTTTGCACTTTTGCATGTTTTTGGGTCGTACCATTCATGTTCTAGTTTCTTCCGAACAATTCTATCTGACATGACATCTTCTAAATCAAATAGTTGGTCATTGGACAAGCACTTGCATGAATTAATAATTTCGTTAAAACTCAATTTGGATAGCTCACGCTCTAACTTTCTTTTTTCTTTTTCATCCATTTTATGGCGCTTGATTTTTTGTCTTTGGCAAATCTCATCTCTCACTTTGCATCGATGCAGTTGATTTGTAAATCTGTTTTTATGTTCTACATTAATTGACCATTTAACAATCTTTTTTCTTAAACTTAAATCTTTTAAAATTTTTTTTTAAATCAAAACATTTATTCAACAAGGAATACTAACACAGCATACAAATACTTTAAATGGTATAGTAACTAAAACAATTCAAACTTAACTTACTGATTGTTTGTTCTAAATTGTCTACAGAAAAAAGAGTGACTTAAAAAAATGTAAGTATTAAGTATACAAAAATACAACTAGCAAGAAATAATATTGTTAGACAACAATCTACACAGGCATAATAAAGAACTGTATTAGAAAACTAATATCATTTATATATGTATGTATGTATGTATATATATATATATATATATATATATATATATATATATATATATATATATATATATATATATATATATATATATATATATATATATATATATATATATTGAAAAGAGATAAAAATGTATATTATATATATATATATATATATATATATATATATATATATATATATATATATATATATAGAACATATATTATAATAGCATCTATTTAATAATTACTAAGCTATTGAATACAGAAAGTAACTTACTGATGTTGATAACATCAGTTAGTTATAAAAAAATATTTCTTTCACTGTTTTAGATGCCCAAAGTTGTAGTGCAGCCGACAACATTGTTGTCAGCTGCACTACAACTTTGGGCATCTAAAACAGTGAAAATAATATTTAAGTTATATATAAAGATTTAGATAGTGGCTAGATAATTTAAAAACAGTTTAATAAATTTATATTGAAACAACTTATCTATAAAGATATTTCTTATTAAATAAAAACAACGTTCAATCTTCAAATTAGATATGATTCATCAATAATTTAATTCACATCTAATTCTTATTATGAATATGATATGAAATAATAGATAAAACCTTTATTTTCTTCCTCCATTTTATTTCTAAATCAAATATAAAATTTAAGTCTTATTTTAATATTTACTAAAAATCGTTTTATTAAAGTAATTTCTTTTAAATGTACAAATTTTTTAACAATATTTTTATTCTAAAATATCTAAGTTTACAATATCAATTTATGACATAAGTCAAATATTGCTAATATGAATACTATATATGTAAAATAAATATAAATAAAAACAATCAATGGACCCCTCTGTCTCCCGCTATTATCAGGTAAAATGTAAATTAGGTAACAAAAGTGCAGCAAGAAATAAGGTGACTGCTACAAAATATTTTTCAACGAAAATTGGCAGGTGCATAGATAAATGAATGAATTTAATAAAAAAAATGGATAGAAAAAAAAAGACTATATCCTGGACATTAAATTCACCACAGAAGTACAACCAAAATTTTGACATCAATAAACTCGTTAATAAATTAAGTGAGTATAATTAAAAACCAATTGAACTAATGCTTCAACTTTTCTTCTTTCTAAAAATAATCCATGTTGATAACGAATACTAAAAAGTTATTCCACAAGGCCTTCCTCAAGCACTCTAACTTTTAAGAGACTACGAAAAACGTGAAACGACAAAATTCGGTTCCGTAAAACATGATACTCACGTACCTATATATATATATATATATATATATATATATATATATATATATATATATATATATATATATATATATATATATATATATATATATATATATATATATATATATATATATATATACACATTTAGTTAAACTTTAATAATTTACAAGAAGTGAAATTATAAGAAAAATAAAATGCATCCAAAATATGTGTTAAATTATTTTGGCATACAAGGACGTGCTGAGGTAGCTAGATTGATGTTTCATTTAAAGGATGTTAAATTCACTGACAACCAAATCAGCTTTCAAGATTGGCCAAATCTTAAACATAACCGTAAGTCTTTTTTCTATGTGGACATTTAAATTATTATTATTATTATATATATATATATATATATATATATATATATATATATATATATATATATATATATATATATATATATATATATGTGTATATGTATATATATATATATATATATATATATATATATATATATATATATATATATATATATATGTGTATATGTATATATATATATATATTAAAAACTGAAAAAATATATATATACAGTTATGGCCATTGAAATCCGACCACCAGTATCATTTTACTTAAAACTAGTTTAATGTAGTAATAAACAATTGTATTATAGCAATAAAAGAGTAACAGTAGCAATTAATGATTATAATGTAACATATCATACATATTTAATGTTTATATTAATGTTTTTTACTCTCAGGTTCATTGAATTTAATATTTAGTGGCACCACCATGTGCTTTTAATACTGCATTAATGCAATCTGGCATTGAATCCACGAGAGCCTGACAATATTCTGGCGTTATTTCAGTAATCCAAGCTTGACGAATTTTGTGCGCTAGATCGTCCAGTGATGTAGGATTAGTTCTGGATACTGCTGACTTTAACTTGACCCAGCAATTTTCGATTGGGTTTAAGTCTGGGGATGATCCCGGTCAAGGACCCAGAACCTGAAGACGAGATTGGTGACACGGTGTACCATCATGCTGGAATATCTTGCAACGACGAATTTCCATCAAATTTGGAACCTTTTCTTGAAGGATTTTTAGATATTGTTGGGAGTTAACAGTCTGTCCCTTCTGCATTAAATAAATACCACATAGACCAGATGAAGCTATCGCACCCTACACCATGATTGAAGAACATGGTTTGACAGCTGGTACAGATACCTTGCATTAAAACGCTGATTAGGGGGGGTGACGAACTAATGACTTATGTGGAGCGAATTGCTTTATTTGTGTCTCGTCGCTGAACATTACCTGGCGCCATTTGGTTATTGACCAGTGTCTGTGAGCTCTACAAAATGCGATCCTATCACGGATGTTCTTTAAAGATAGTCACGGTTTGAGGGTTGGACGACGAGAACATAGACCTGCATCTTTCAATAAACATCTTCTAATTGTTCGAGTGCTGACTGTAATGTCATTAGGTAGATCTGCCCTGATTTGTGTGCTGGATATTGTTGGATCTCTCACAGCAGCCCTGCGTATCATATTGTCTGTTTGATTGCTAGTAATTCTAGCTTTACCAAAACGTTTTCTGGGCGCAGTGGATCCCGTATCTTTGATTAGTTGTATAATATCATGAACAGTAGATTTTGGCATTCGCAATCTTGCTGATATCTGACGCTCACTTGCACCATCCTCCCATAAAAGTTTAATGTTAGCACGAACGGCTTCCTTCGTAGTCATAGTTAAATTGTGACAGTTAAATGATAATCCATACCTTACAATGAGATGTATAGCTTAATAAATTTTACAGTGCAATAAAATAAACGCTAATGTGATCGGCTAAAAGCTAATTAATTAATCATTGATGTCAGGGAAGAAAATATATTGATTATTCGCGTGCAAAGACTGTTTTTCTTTATATTCAGCAATGGTTGGATTTCAATGGCCATAACTGTATATATATATGTATGTATATAGGGTCACATAGGGTATTATGAGCTCCTTAAGTAAAAATTGGAGTATTTTCAAGAATAATTATGCTGGATCCTAAATTTTTGTGAATAAACAGTTTTAGGGATTACTACTCATGATCCGTTTAGATATTTGGGCACCCAAAATTTTTAAAAATAGTAGCAAAAGTGCCACTTGATAATATGACTACTTGAAATTAGCTCAAAAAAGTAACATTAATTTAAAATTTTTTTAGAATTGACAATTAGAATTTATTTGTGGGATATAATGATTCATTACTAATAAAACTTATCAAATTAGATCAAATTATAAGCCACTTTTTATTGAAACAATACTTTGTTTTGCGCAAATATATATCAAACCTATAAACAATGGAATTTCAAATTTTTTGAATTTAAATCACATAAAGATATTTAGTATTTTTAAAATGTTACAAATTTTTACTATGTTTTTTTTTAAAAAAAAAGCAATTAAAACCACTACAATTTTAGCAATTTTAACTTAGGCAATTTTAATGAAAAACACTAGGTAATTTCAGCATGCTCATTTTACGATAAATGTTGTCAAAATGCTAACATATTTTTCTTAAATTTCATTATTTTAGCATCAAAATTTAATTGTGTTTTAATTAGATGAGTACCACTAATTACTACATATAAATTTACGCTAATTATACTGATTCCTGTTATCACCACGTAAAGTCGATTCAAAAAATACAAAGCAACTTTAGCGTCACTACTTTTATATATATATATATATATATATATATATATATATATATATATATATATATATATATATATATATATATATATATATATATATTTGTGTGTGTGTGATTTTCGCATGCTTGATACGTAATATTTGAACATTGATATTTAAATTTAAAACTACAAGCTTTAAAAGTAAAATTAACATTTAAGCTAAAATTGAACTTTTAAAAAGACTAATATAAATTGCCTTTTGAAGATTTTTTATAGTCCATAAAATTTTCCTAGGTAGTTTTTATGTTTTGTTTATTGTTTGTCATGTTTAAATGTTTTTTTTTATTTATAAAATATAGATTCAAAGTTTCCTTTGGAACAAATGCCAACATTGGAAGTAGATGGACAAGTGATTTGCCAATCTGCAGCAATTAATTTTTATTTAGCTGAAACTCTCGATCTCTATGGAGCAACTATTACAGAACGAGTGGTCATTAATCAAATTTACGAGACTCTAAGTGATTATACAAAAGAATACTTTGAAATTGAGTATAGTAAATCATTAGACGAAAGTCAAAAGGTACGCATAATTTTGATTTATTTAAATATATTTAATATTACAACCGTTTTTCATTTTTGTAGCTGAGTATCGAATAAATTTTAAAGTGTTTTGATATTATACCGAATATTGATATTTATTAGTTAAAGTAGACTGTAAACTTTTTACTATTATATTTTATTCAATTATTTCCAATTAATTTTGTCAAATTAAATTGGCATTGACAAAAATATATATATAGTTTACTTATAATCTCAGTTTTTTTGCTAAAAATAAGACTAAAACAAAATTGTTTTTTCCAAAATAGTTCACAAAAAACTTTTATTTTAATTAAATTGAAGGATCAATATGATATTTTTAGAAAGAGGCTTTTGCTGAGTTTTCCACCAAGGAAACTACAAAATTGAAGTTTCAATTTATCGAAAGTTTGCTCAAGCGTAATAACTGTGGAACTGGATATTTTGTTGGCGATTCGGTAAAAGTGTTTATTGAATTTTATTTTATACAAGTCTTATACTAAATTTATTTTATTTGCATAAACATGCATTCAAATAAAACAATTTTTTTTTTCTTTAGATCTCTCTTGGAGATATAGTATTCCATAGTACCTGTGAAATGATCGATGAAACAGTTTTAAATAAGTATCCTTTATTAAGAGATTTAAACAATCGAGTTAAAGAAAGTCCTAAACTAAAGCCGTATTTAACATCTCGTAACCTTTTATTTCATCCTTGAACAACTCACCTTTGTTAATAATTTTTTACAGTTTATTAATTTAACTTATATTTTGGTTATTCCGGATATTTTTACACATTTTTATTTTTTCCTGATATCCAAATAGTTTTCTGAAAATACAAGTTAAAAATATTTAATTTGTCATCAAATAATTAAAACAGTAAAGGTAACGTTCATCGATTACTTTATGCTATATTTTACTTAGGTAAGGCATTATTTTTACAAATAAAGGGATTCCTAAGTGCCGAGACAAATTATAGTTATTGCTCAGCTTTACATGAATAGAAATACATGAGCGAAATTGCATAAAGCTGTGAGTATAAGCTATTGCTTTTATTTACCCAACCTATTAAAAAAATTATGTTAGTATTTAAATTATAAAATAAGTTTTGTGTTAATTAAAATTACCAAATCAATTTATTTATTGAGATATTAATAAAAAAGCATTTATTGTTTTGCCATATATTTCTGCAGTATTTATGTAAAAAAAAGTTGTTTTATTTACAAAATTAAAAAAAAAAAAAAACTTACCTTAAAGAAAAAAAAAATGCTCTTAAAATTAAAACTTACCTTCAAGAAATTATTTATTAAAAGGTTTTTTGCTTATGTTTTGATAAATACTTTGTTTTGGAACGTTTAAATAATATGAAATCTATTTTGTTTTTAATTATTTAAGATATGTAACCACTCAGCACTTAGAGATTACTTAAATTATTTTAACTATTTCATCTAAAAATCTAGTTTAATTTAATTTATAAACTCTATTTAAGTAAGCATTAAAATACATTTTTATTTATCTGGGAATAAAAGCGTTTTTATTCCCAGATTTTTCCAGATATGTCTTAAAAATATTTTTCCGGATTTTATAATAAAATAATTTTCCGGATAATTTAAAAATTACAAGAATAATCTATGGTTATAATATAAGGTTTTATATAAAAAAATGTTCAAATTATTCATATTTTAAATTATTTGTAAATAATAGTAAAACAAAAATTGTTAGGTGTTTTAATATTTAACTTTATTTATCTGTAATAATAAAAAAATTATCACATTTTGTTTGAATATATTTATTAAATACATTTTGATAGCAATATTCAGACATTTGTTTAAGAAATAATTTGGCTAGTCTAAGAGGGAAATGTTGAATTTTAAGGTTTTAAAAATAATTATCACAGGATGTTAAATAATTTTTTTAGATTATGTTGAGAAATAAATTAAATATATAATCATAAAATGCTACTCAAGTGCAATATAAAATTGAAAATGTAGTTTTGATACTGAATATTGCAAAAACTGAATGTCTGAATAATCATGAATGTTTTGTATTTTTCACTTGCTGTAGTAAGTCAATTACATTGTGTTATTATATGGTATCATTTAGTCATATATAATATGTTTATTTACAAAGTTATAAAAAAGATATCAAATTTTTTTGGTAATACATTTTATATTTTTTTTATTTTTGTACTTTTTAACTTTATTAAATTTATTAAAGAGGTTGATTGATTGATTTGATTGATTGATATTTATTAGAAAAAAGTATAAATACATGTTCTAAAGGACACGAAGGCTCATACAAAGATGGAGACTAACAGTGTGCCCAAAGAAAGTTAAAAATATCGCTACAAAAAAAAAAAAAAAAAAAAAAAAACTATAAAGAAACAAATAGTTGTTCCTTATAAAAAAGATGTTTGTTAAAGTCGAAAGATTTAATTTTATTTTTGAGCGTTAAAATGTTATTTGCATTTACAGCCTCCGAGGTCATATTGTTTCACATGTCAACAACTCGGTAAGAAAAGCTATATTTTCTTAAATCCAAGCGACAAGATTGTTTGCTTATTTTATAACTATGACCCCGGGTGTGGCTATTATTGTCAATCGCAAAGAATATAGATTGATCAATACAGATGTGTTTACGAATAATTTTAAAGCAAGTTACTAAGTCGTTTTTGAGGCGCCGAACTTCGAGTGATTTGATACCAAGCAACTGTAATCTATTATGATAGGAAAGATTTCTAAGGCTCCTTATTTTTTTTGTAAATTTTTGTTGGACACTTTCAACTGATTTAATCAATCCAATTAGGTGTGGCGACCAAACTGGAGAACAATATTCTAAAATTGGTCGTATATGGGTAGTGAAAGCTCTAACTAGGATACAAGGGTCACGTGTTTAAAGGGATCCCTAAGTGCTCCTAACATATGATCTCATATGAAAGAGCATAAAAAAAAAATATGTACGTTTTTTTTCTTTTTCACTAAATTGTAATAATAAATGCATGCTAACAAAAAGCAATTGCCGAAATCACTGAAAAACAACTCCATTTTGATTTTATTTTTTCACCATTGAAACTCGATTGTTAGTCGTTAAAAATCACGTTAGTACGTCACAACAACTTTAAAATATCTACTTCGATTTTCAAGTAAAAAAAAGTCGTGATTAAATAGTTAAGTTTTAATCAAGTTTTTTTAATTAGTTTTGCAAAAACATAATATCATTCGGTTGAAAGACGTCGTTAAAAAAAAGTTATTAAGTAATAGTTTTTAATAGTTTAGAACTTATAAAAAAGTCTTACAGGGCTCGTATTAAGCGTATCGCGATCGCGATTGCTTTTCACACTTTTGTGATTAGTTTTTTTTTAAAAAAATCTTTTCGCGATTTGTTTTTTTGTTTGGTTGTTTAATTACTTTTTTTCTAGGTTAGCATTTTTTTTAGCAATCCTTAAAAGTAATGTTTTTATCATGAAGAACGTCACACAAAATTTATTATTCTGAATAGATAGATTTGCTCTTTCGCGCGGAGATTTTCTTTCAAGGTTAAACATTTTTGAATTTAAATTACTTTAAATCTCTGCGTGGAAAATTTTTACTAGGTCGTTAAAGCGAAAAGTTGAAAAGTTGGTTTTTCTCTTTGTTTATCAAAACTTCATGTTTAAAATAAGGCTTGAAAACGTTAGAGCAAAAAAAATACTGACTTTTATTTGCATTTTTATACTGTTTGAAAAAAAAAAACTAATAAAAAAGAATTAATTGTTATTTTATTTTTATAATTGTTATTATTAATTCTAATAATTATTAATTAATATATTATTAGTTAATTCTTTTTTATTAGTTTTTTTTTTCAAACAGTATAAAAATGCTAATAAAAACCAGCAATTCTTTTTACTTTAACGTTTTCAAGCCTTATTTTAAACGTGAAGTATATTTCGATTTATTTAACCAAATTTTTTTGTTTCATCTTTTATTGGAAAACTTGAAATAGAAAAATTGAAAAAACATCAACCATTAAAATGAAAAACTTAATTATATTTAAACTTTTATTAGTCCTTTATTCAAGAAACAATAAATTATAAAAAACGTGGTATATAATTTTTTATTAAGTTTTTGACGATGTTTTTTGATTTATTGACGATAATTTCCCCCCCCCCCCCCCCCCATTCACGCACATCGGCGCGACCTATGAGAGAGAGAGGGGGGGGGGAAAGAGAGCAAAAAAAAAAAAAATTTTCGCGATTAGATTTTTTTTTGCGTTAATTCGAGCCCTGTCTTAGTTTAATTTCTAATAAAATGTCTATTCAACCTTATTAATTTGAATCAAAAAAAATATAGCAAAATTAACATAAATGTTAATTTAAGTAAAACATTTTAAAATAATTATTTTTTTTATCAAGCAAAAATGAGAATAACCGTCACTTTTGAAACCATAAAAATGACTGAAATAAATTTATTTTTGTACTAAGGAAATATTTTAAATAAACTTTCATGTGTCTAAATCAATATTCATTTGTTAAAAACTGACTAAAAAGAGTTTAAAATTTGACTTCTATTCATTTTTGGCCGTGGAATTGCCCTTATAACACAAATATATAAATTAATATTATAAAAAAAAATTTAATATACAAATATATTTTCACAAAATGCTACAAAACTTATTCTTGTAAGTAATTGTGTTAGTTAAAAAAAAAACGACTTTACTTTTAAATTTAATTACCAACTAATAAGTTTGCAATAATGACATTTTGTCTACTTTGTTAATTTTGACATACAAACGTTAGTTTTTTGAGGCAATAGAGTCAGTAAGCTTTGGACAAGACGCATTTTTTTTAATCGAAGAAAAGCGTTTTTTTGAAAATTAAATTTGTTAGTGTGTGTTCATTATTACGTTTTAGAAAAAATAATATACATCAAACATTTTTTTTTTTAATGCTCTTTCATATGAGATCATATCTTTATAGCACTTAGGGATCCCTTTAAAACATTTCAAAATTAAGTATGCTCTAGAGTTAGCTTGATGGATGACGTTAAAAATATGTTTTTTATAATTAAGGTTACAGTCCATCGTTACTCCTAGATCTTTTGGGTTTGAAGACCAAGCCAAAGAATGTTCACCTAATTTATAGTTAACCTATATACTTTTGCATGAGAGAGATGCTATTCTAAGTGCAGAATACTTACTACAAGCAATTGTTAGTTGCCAAGTTTCTGCCCATTGTACAAGTCTATTTAAAGCAACAACTAAATCTTGGCTTAGATTCATATCACGGTATAAACTATATAAATTTATATCATACACGTAAAGTTTTACACAATAGTCCAGATTATTAGTTATAGCGGTTAAATCATTAACATATAATAAAAACAATGTCGGACCTAACACACTACCCTGTGGAACTCCGCTAACAATGCGTATAGAGTTTGATATAGGATTACCGAACTTGACTTGCTGATATCTATTTGTGAGAAAAGCAGAAATCCATTTTAAAAAATTACCTTTTATGTTATAGGATGCAAGTTTTACTAATAGTTTGGTATGCGAGACAGAGTCAAAAGCTCTTTGGAAATCAATATAGACAACATCCGTTATTTAATGGTTATCGAGTGCGGTGTTCCAATCATTAGCAGATTCTAAAAGATTTGTACTGGTTGAACGTTTGTTGAGGAAACCATGTTGATTAAGAGATTAAATTATGATGACCTAGATACTTTATGACATACACATTGATCATTCTTTCCATGACTCGACAACAAGTGCATGTCAGTGAGATGGGTCTATAATTATTTGGATCCGCAGTAGCTCCTTTTTTAAAAACTGAAGATACAAAAGCTTGGCGCCATTGTTTAGGTAAAGAACTTGACTTAAAACTGGAATCAAATATAAATAAGAGTGGAACACACAATAGATGAGCTAATTTTTTCAGGAGTATGTTAGGTATGCCGTCAAGACCGTATGATGTGCTGGCTTTAATTTCCTTCGAAGATTTCTGGTGAAAATACACTGTAGATCCAAAAGGTTCTTTGCGGTTCTTTGAAGAACCTAAAGGTTCTTGGAGAAATTTTAAGGTTCTTTAAAGAACCTATGGGTTCTTTATATTCTCTAATGGTTCTCTGAAGAACTGGCGGCTTATTTACAAAGCAATACAAAGAACCCACAAGGTTCTTCAAATCGTTTTACGAAAAAATTCAAAGAACCTTAATTTAGGGTTCTTTAAATCTTTTGTAAACGCCATTTTATTTTTATAATCAGTCGTTATATAGGTAGACTAGTATGAAATTATAAAGAATGGTATAACAATAACAAATGATTATCATGACAGTATTTAATTTGTGCCTTAAACATTTGAGTTGTTTTTGTTACCGTTGTTAACATCAACAACGATTATAATAGCAATGTGTTTTTTTTTTCTTTTTTCGAGCATTTTTCTTATTCCTATATGCTTTTATTATGCATATTATAAATTGATATATCATTGTATATTGCGCATGGTTTTGTTTAGATAAATAAATATATCATTTGTTCAAAATTAAAAAATGGCAGATTATTTAACTGGAGTGTAGAAGATGTTTGCGTATACTTAGAACTTAAAGGACTCCCAGAACTTAGACAAAAAGTAATTAGTTAGATTAAAGCTATTATTTATTATCAATTATATAAGTGTTTGGGCACGATATATATATATATATATATATTATATATATATATATATATATATATATATATATATATATATATATATATATATATATATAATATATATATACATATATATATATATATATATATATATATATATATATAAATATATATATATATATATATATATATATATATATATATATATACACACACAAATAGTATTGTGTACTAAAGTAAGCAATCTGACGTCATACTGAAATAGCCTGCTGCTGGGGGCTTTAGTACATACATCGACTGACAAGTAGCCTGACTCGCAGTGGAGTGCTGCTACATCGACTGAGGGTTTGGGATGGGGCAGCAATCGTTTTATTCATCATTCTTCGTTTTTTTTTCTTCTTTTTTGAAAAAAACAGTACGGCTTAAGGTAAGCAGAAAAAGTGAGCAAATGCTTATTAAAACACGCTTTGGTAAGTGTATATATATATATATATATATATATATATATATATATATATATATATATATATATATATATATATATATATATATATATATATATATATATATACTACAAGATGGCTACACCTGTGTTACTCTAAGAAACTTGTGTTTTAAATAACTTTTTCTTGCATGTTATGTTTTTTGTGTGAATATTTTGTTATTTAATTAAAGCACAATAAAAGGGAAACAAGAATAATAATCTTAAGAGAGTCAATTCCAATTAATAATTTTTTAATGATTATTATTTGTTTAATAAAACAATTATTTAAAATAGTATAAATAGCAAATTGAAATTTTTTTTATAAATAGTAATATATAAACAATTATTGAAGAAATGCATTTTTTTTTGTTTAAATTTGCTACATTACCATGCTATTGTGAGTCTCTAATTAATATTTCCAAAATAATTTGTATTCTGATATATATATATATATATATATATATATATATATATATATATATATATATATATATATATATATATATATATATATATATATATATATATATATATATATATATATACATACATACTTCATGTATGAAGTCTGCAAGTCTAATTATATTTTTTATTATGTTATAGTACATACATTTTTTAATTTATTGTAAGATTTTTTTCCATATAAGTAAATTTTTTCTTCATGTTTTAACTTTTTGACACATTACATTAATTTCTGCTTTTGTTACTATTTATATAATAAATATAAATACAATCCTTTTATATAAGAGTATTTTCAAATTTTTTTTAATTACAATATTCATTTATAATTGTTGTTATTTTTTAGTTGTAAATAAAAATAATATAACTAGAAATAAAAATGTCTGGTGCCGGTAGAAAAATAGATGCAGTTTTGAAAAAACCCTGTAAAGTTTGGCAAAAAGGGTAATAAAGCTAAATGTAAAAGTTGTGGTGTATAAATGCAGGGTTTGGTTGCTAGAATGAGAAACCACAAAATTTAATTTTGGTAAATCTAATTTTCTGAAAGATGTTTAAGATGATGAAAAGATTATTATTTGTCAAAACAAATATCAACAAGGCAACTGAAGAACCACAAGCTAGTCAATGTTTGGCTAAGAGTACTGAATCTAGTCAATCTGCTGTATACCCATGTTGTTGTGAGTTTCTATTTAATATTTTCAAGATATTTTGTACTCTGTTATATATATACTTTATATATGAAGTCTACAAAAAGTTGAACTTTTAATTGGTAAAATTGTATATTATTTAAAATAATGAAATAGTTTATATATGGAAACTTGAAGCATTGACATGTGACATATATATATATATATATATATATATATATATATATATATATATATATATATATATATATATATATATATATATATATATATATATATATATATATATATATATATATATATTAGGGTGGGGCAAAAAACACCCAATTTTTTTTTTTTTTAATGGGTACTGCTATGGTCGGTCCCAGCGGTCCAAAAATACCAAAGTTTCTAATTTTTGTAAATAATGAGGGGGGCAGGGTCACTTACAAATATTTCAAAGATATTTTAAGTGTTATTTTAGTAGCCTGATATATTTAATTTTAGATTATGTTTTGTTTTATTGCAAAAGATGATGTAAATGGTCAGCCTTATCCATTTAAATACATGCTGTGTATTTGGGAGGCGGGGGGATGGGTAAGTTAAAAAAAAATCTTTTTTTTTTAAATTTTTATTTTAGTGTAAATTAAAATAATGTCAACATGCAATAGATTTAGAAAAATATCTCATCGTGAAGTTTTTCTTGTTGGAAAAAGAATTGGAATAATACCTATCACACAATTGCCAACTAAAAAAACCGTATTGCAATATTATCATTACAGAGATCTTATGCTAAGAGCTGATTTTCCAAATATTTCTTCAGTTAGTATAGCTTTATGTTCTCTAGGAAATTTTTTTACTGCACAATGTGCTGAAATAGGTGGTTGTCTCCAAAAAGGTTTACCATGTGTCCTTTACGAGGTGAAGAAAATTTGGCAAAAAGCAGGAATTCCTTACACTAATACTGACAAGCACATCAGGTTTTTATTTTATTAAAATGATTTTAAATTATTAGTTTTATCCAATTTTAAATTAATTTTATATAAGTAACAATTATAAAATCATGAAATTATATATATTTATTATAAATTACATTAATTTTAATGCCTGGTTGATATTTGTTTTGACAAATAATAATCTTTTCATCATCTTAAACATCTTTCAGAAAATTAGATTTACCAAAATTAAATTTTGTGGTTTCTTCTACTTTTGTTTTAGAGACAAGATTGTTGTCTTAGAAAACAGGAGAAAAGATTTGAACAAACATCGGAACCGTTTAAGTACAAATTTGGTTTTAAAAAGAGGAGGTATTTGATATAAGTCAAAACAATTGTGAAGATATTATTATGATAGATAAAACTAAAGATTTAAAAACTAGAAAAGAAGATGTAGATTTTCATAACGACCAGAAAGGAGCGTGTGTTCAGAAAATGTTAGGTCAAGATAAAATTTCACAAAAAATTGTAAAAAACAAAACAAAAAGAGAAATAAAAAAAACAAAAAATCAAAGAACAAAAGAGCCCATGAGAAAACAGAAAGAGTTGGTTACTGAGAACTTTGAAAACACAACAGAAATTTTAAATACTTTCAATAATGACCAAGATGAACAGTATCTACAGCCTTCTAGAAAAGTTAAAAAAATCTAATGCTGTAGCTCTTATTGTTCCAAAAAATATAGGAAAATATTTAGCTCCAACAGCATCAGGATATGGAATAAGTTCTACTGCACTGAGTGCAACTCTCGCTTCTCTAATAAATAACAGTTCTGGAACAATAGATAATTTTTGTATATCTAAACGAAGTATTTTGAGACAGAAAAAATTAAGTATAAGTAAAACTGCCTGTAAAATTAAAGACAACTTTATTATATTGGTTAAGGATAAAAATCTTACTGTACATTTTGATTCGAAAATTATGGTAAAAATGAAAGAACTTGGTAAAGAAAAAGTTAAAAGAGTAGCTGTACTAATCAGTTCACCAGATCTTTTAGAATCACAACTTTTGGGTATTTTAATTGTGAAAGATGGCACTGCTGAGTCTCTTGAAAAAGCAATTAAAAAAACTTTTTAAGACTGGGAGCTATTTGACTATGTTGATTGTCTGTCCTTTGACACCACAGTCACAAATACTGGTTGGCTAAAAGGGGTCTGTACTCTAATTGAGCAGTGGAGAGGAAAAGCTTTGTTTTGGATGGCTTGTCGTCATCATGTCTATGAATTACATATAAAGGTAAATATTGAAAAAATTATAAAATATTTTTATATTTATTTGTATATTTAATGGTGAACATTTCTCGATGAATTTAATGATTAACCTTATTATTAAAATTTAGTTAAATGATTTGAAATATATATATTTCAGCACTTTTCAAGTGTTCTTACTGGTGGTAAAACAAGCGGACCAAAGGCTGAGTTATTTGAAAGACTGAAGTGTAATTGGAAATTGATTCTTGAAAAAAAAGATAAACTATGATAACCTAAAGAGATTTGACTCAGAAAAAAAATTAGTATCTTTTTTGGAAAAACAGGTTGGTTTAATTGTCCTAATTATATTAATGTGTTTAATTAAAAGTTGTAATAATAAGGTTTTTTTTTTTTAATTTAGGCTTCTGAATCATTAACATTCCTTCAAATTTGCCTTGATAATGATATGTTTCCAAGAAATGACTACAAGTATTTTATACAATTAGCAGTTCTTTGGTTAGGTGGTAAAGTAAAAAATTTTCACTTTAGATTTCCAATGGCTTCGCATCATGCCAGCTTTATGGCACAGGGAGTTTATTTTTTAACATATGACCTTCTTCAGCGACAATTCAGTAACTTATGTTCTAATATAATATCATTGCAAGAGGGAAAGCTGATTCATGAAATTGATTCATTTACAGCACTATTTTATGTTACATGGTTTATTAGAGCTCCTTTCCCTGCCATAGCACCTTCTTTAGATCTAAAAGCTGTTTTTTTTTTTTTTTTTTTTTTATTTGCCCTTACTCCCAACAAGGCTGCAAGCAACCACTATTAAGTTGGGAGTTACTAGGAAAAAAAAAGAACAGTTATAGAGCAAGGAAACAGTTGACAGAAGACTTGAAAAGTTGAAGGTTGTATGAGTCAGGAAAACATGAAGGTGGGAGAGAATTCCAAAGGATTGAAGTGCGGGGAAAAAAACTAGATGAATAAAAGTTTTTAGAGCATGCAGGGACAGATACAGTAAAGGAATGAGACTTAGCTGAATGACGAGTAAAACGAGAATGAATTTTAGTTGATGGAACTAGAGATGATAACTCCTTTGAGCAGTGATCATGATAGTATCTGTAGAAAAGAGAAAGAGATGCAACTTTACGACGATGGGAAAGAGGTTCAAGCTTAGCAGATAGTCCAGAAAACAAGACTCAGTCAAACACTTGTTAAATAGTTTAGAGAGAATTGAAGAAAGTTCTGGAGAACAATTCTGCAAGACTGTGACAGGAATGTTGTCTGGACCACAAGCTGTAGACGAGTTTAATTGAGATATGACTTTAGCAACAGAAGCGGGAGTGATTTGAATGTCTAACAATGGGTCAACCTGTTTGACTGGAATGGAAGGAAGAGAATGTCCATAAGATTCAAGAGTGGAATTAGAAGATTAGATAGATTGTTAATGAAATGATACAATACTCTGAACTCTATCTTAAACCAGCAGAAGCCGTACTGAAGTCACTTGAAAA